CTGCATCTACCTCCTCACAATAATAAATCGGACATATAGAAATATACTGTTCATGGTAACACTGTTCATAAAATGAAAATTCTAGTTTCTTATGTTAGAATGAAAAAAGTTTTTTAATTAGTTCTCTGAAAATGAAATTGGGTTATTATTTAGTCACTCTCATGTTGTTCTAAATTTATTATTTTTGTCATGAACGAAACACACTAAACATCACCCTACTGAAGTCTATATAACTGAAAGTCACTATTTTCTGGCAACCTGTCTTTCCAGGAAGAATTATTAAGAGCGAAATTGATGAGAAACAGTTCATTTGTGGGCATTTGCAGGACCATAAAAGTAACACTATACAGGTTTAAAACATCAAAGGGATGAGTCAATTTGACAGAACGTTTTATTTTGGATGATTTATACTGTCAAAGGTTTAATAATAAGCTGTTTAACGTCATCATAGTTCTGAAAGCTGTAGGCTTTAATTCGCAGCCAGCTCAAATGATCTTCAGCTTTCATCAGTCCCTACATTGAATGTCAAGAAATCAAAATGCTTAAATATTTGTTAGAAAATACTTTTAATTCTGAATTTTACCAGCTCTCAGAAAAGTTCTTCTCGGCTTCTGAGCTGTTCAGCAGACTCCGAAATGTGCTGGAAGTTAAGAAAACGCATGCATATACTGTAAAAACTCTAACAAATCTGCATCCATTTGACAACGCACTTGCACGCTAATTCACACAACACATGCAAATACAGGAACACACAGTGTAAATGCTGTGCATGACCACAATTCAAATGTGTCAACGCATCCGCAAAAAAGGTAAACCTGTCTGCGTTCTGTTTAGAGCCAGTGGGTTTGTCACCCCAAAAAAAAAAAAAAAAATTATATATATATATATATATATATATATATATATATATATATATATATATATATATATATATATATATTATTTAGACTATAGCCTAGTGTTTCTTGTTTTTTGTACTTCTAAGCAGGGCTTAATTAGTGCCGGAATAAACCAGGGGCCTCATGTATCAACGCTGCGTACGCACACAAACTTTGCGTACGCCAGGTTTCACGCTCAGAATCGCTCACGTTTGGATTTACTAACAATGAACTGAACGTGGGAATGTGCGCAGGTTCACAGCAGCTTTCTGGCAGGCGTACGCACATTTTTTGTGCGTGTCTGTTTTATTTCCATTGGCGACTCCTAGAGGCAGTTGTGTTAAATTCCTCTCTACAAAGTGTCTGAGCCTTGCAATGGCAGCTGTATGAGACGGGTTCATATAGTAGGTATGTAAGATTTCCATACCATACAGTTGACCAGCTAAACATTAAAGCGCAAATTGCAGCAGTCGCCTGTTTTCCCAATGTAATCTGAGCAATCTACCGCACGCACATTGCTATAAAGACACTAACTGAAGATGAATTTGCATGCGTGAATCAGAAACATTTCCATTCAATAAATGTGCAAATAAAATATGATGCACAAACTTATTGATGATTCCTACTTGTCTTTCTCTTGATAAATAGTGGGCAAAATCTGATATGTAGCGGGGAAAAAAAGAAAAATGAATTCATCAGACGCTGGATTCGAGCCGAGTTTACGCTCGAACATGTCTGTACATGATCTCATGCTTCTTTTGAGGTGCGCCACTGAAACTGCTTAGGATATCGTAACATTTTTCAGTTATAAATCACACTATTTCTTTTTTAAATGCACTCAGTGCGATGTTCAGACCCAACTGTGTTAACCGTATCAGCTAAACTCTCCCACTCTATTTTTTTCTTTTGTTGTTAATTCCGGAGAACAAACTTGCAAATAACACCGCTTTTCCCCGGTCTACCTCCGAAAGCAGCACCTCCAATTCACATTCTGTTCAAAGTTTCTCTTTTTGCTTGATTTTGCCGTTGCTTTTTCGTTGGGTTTTGCCATTAGCATAGTCATTAGCATATTCATACGGGGGAGGAGGCAGGGAGGGGTTTTGTGCTTGTGCATGTTGCGCTTAGTTTCACGTTCATTTAGATGTACAAAAGAATATGCGTGAGATTCGGCGTACGCAGTGTTTCATACATCTGAATTTTTTTCTGCATACGCACATTTGCAGCTTTGTGCATACGCAATGTTTTAGTAAGATTTCCACGCAAGTCTTCGTACATGAGGCCCCAGATCTGGAGGCAGTACATAGCACCTCATTAAGCATGTTCTTGCTGATCAATGGGTGCATTAAAATTTGTGGTCAATGATTTTAAGCAGTGGTGGCAAATCAAAAGACATTTTGACACATTGTTTTATAGTAGGCTATAAGCCTGATTTTATTAAAGTAATTAAAATATTGGTTCAGTTACACAGCCCAGAATGGTTTTTAAATCGTCTGCTTTCCCTTTCAAATCACTATGAAGTGCAGTCTTACAGGTGTGAAAAGTGGCTTTCCATCCAGCAAAGCAGCAGTCTGGAGTTAAGATACTTTTGCATTGTGGTTTTAAAGACGATGGGGCTGCAATGTCATGTTTGCAGCACTACAGTATATTGAAATATAGGCCTATTGAGTGTGAGAGAATGTAAAGTGGAGGAATATCTCAGAGGTAAATTATGATATTAAGTTGTTTAGGAGCAATGATGAAATGCATAGCAAGAAATCGTATTACCAGGATGTTAAAATAAACTAAAAACTCAACTCTCAGACTCGTGACTGACTGCAGAAAGCTGCTGAGTTTGTCACTTTTTGGTGTTGGTGTTTGTGTTGGAGGATGTGTGTTGTCAGATTGATGAAGATGTTTTCTTAATTTGTTGGTGTTTTTCTGCATGAGTTTTCTTAACTTGCAGCGTTAAACTCTACAAAGCAGATTCTAACACCAGGGGGCGTTTTACAAAATGATTTTTAATGGGGTGGTCCAGAGTGTATTTCAAGGCTTGGTTGTGTTTATAAGATGCAAAGCAATGTGTGTTCATGCTTCATTTGTAGAAAATCACGTTATTTTTTCATATATCTTACTTTGTTTATATACAGCTACTCGGCTAACATGAAAACGAATGTCATATTTTCTATTTCCTCCAAAAGACCTACCCTCTAGAGGCTCTGATTGTTCAGCTAACATGTAATTCGCAGATAATGTGTTAATGGATCGGCTCCATGTCATCAGGAAAAGCATCACGCCCCTACGAGCATGCGCTTTTGCGCTGTGTAATCAGTTTGTGCCTGAATCAGACAGAAGATAACACAGAGGACACAACTGAATCTTACGCCTGCTCTCTATAACCAAATCTGACAAGTGTCTTTCACATAGTATCGGAATTAGCATGTGTAAGTAATATAGTTTAGAACGCACGGAAAGCAGCCGCATAGAAAGATGCTGATGTAGATTGTGGCTGTTTACAGCAGTTTGACGGAAAAAAAGGAATTTGTAGCTAAATTGTTAACGATGCCAAACAGCATTTCCCATTGTTTACATCCTTGTTTTCGTCCTTGCAACAGCATACCATTAACGCTAGACTCTATGCATGTAATAAATCAATTATAACAAATAAAAAAGCCTTTTAGGTTGTGACTTTTAGTTTCTGCTATTATAGTTAAAACTATTCCTTCTTTAAGGAGTTTTTAGCCAAATCCAGCACTAAACCGGGAGACATTCTGGAAGCTGTCCTTTGTCAAATGCTAGCTATATATTTTTATGATTCTCTGGAACTTAATTAAAATTAAATTTTAAGCACTTCTCTCTTTGCGTCGTGTCCTTTGGAAGTCCAAATACAGAAACAGAACACGCTCTGTGGAAATAGCAGTGTTTGGATGGCATTTTAGCTTTCTCTGCTACATTAAAACGACTCTATCCACACTCTGTCGCTGCGAACGTGTGTGCACATGGTGAATGTGCATAACCTGAAGGGTGTATGGTTTCAATAACTTGGATGTATTTTTTTTGTAGTCCTTAAATTTCGTTCGCTGTAGACTTTGCTAAGCTAACTCTGTAAAGCCAATGTCTCCCTTTGCATGGAAATTTGAGCATATTACATTAAGAGATGTTGTTTATGTTCATGCAGCAACATTACACATCAACGTAAGTTTAAAAAATGATATCGTAGTTGACCACCCCTTTAAAATCCTATCCTATCTGTGTGGTAACCATGGTAATTTCAGTTAGAACCTTATTTAGAATAAAGGTTATTACAGAACAGTGTTTCCTTAGTGTGTTGTCTTCTGATACATCCTAACTTGACTAAAAAATACTTAATTGTGCTGTCCAACAATGGCATTGCATTTATTGATGATTGAAAATGAAGAATAAAGATGTTTAATGGTAGAAAAGACTCTTTGAGGACCCTAAAGATTAAAGTGTTACATGTCAATGACAAAACACTTTTATTAGAATGCACTTCAACATAATATTACAGTTAATCATGTATTTTTTTGTTTGTTTGCTTTTAGCAAAAGATGATTTTTGGAAGGATGTAGCTTCTACTGCGAAAAGGTCACAACCTTGTTTGTGTAAAAACTCGCTGGTTTTGTTTATCCATTTTGTTCAGGCTAACTCATTAGCAGCCGGCGCAGCGTTGGTTGCTTGGGAACAGACCTAAGAGTGGATTTTCAAACTTGATGACACAGTTTGAGATTTCCAAACTAGAGATAAGATATGTTTTTGTAAATTAGGATAAGATTTCGAAGTTGTGAATTATCCTTATTCACTGTATCAACATATCACACTTTTTGTACTGATCCTAATGACATTAAAGCAGCTGAATTTCCCCTTATGTCCAAATTTCCAATCCGGATGCCACTAAAATGCCAGAATTAGATTTTTTTTGTTTTTCGTTTGCTTGATGTGTCGTGCAACATTTGTGGATGTTTCACACATCAGTCATTCCCATCCGAGGTGAATTGTGTCCGTGCCCCCATCACTGTGGCGTATGATGGACCTGTGTGTGACTCACGCTACTGTCCTTTTCTCCCCCTTCTCCTTCCCTGCCTCTCCTCACTCCCCGTCCTTATACTTCCTTCCCCTCCAACACAGAGACAGACCAGCCCTCCCTCGTGTGGTTTGACAGAGGCAAGTTTTATTTAACCTTTGAAGGTAAGTTGGGGTTTATGTCTAAGGACGTAGCGCGTGCACACTCAAGTCTCATCTGACATCTGACTCCCTCTTTTCTCACGCATTCACGGTCACATTTGCTTGTCCTTCCACCACATCCGCTTCGCTCTGTGTATCTGCTTGTCATTTTAACCATTCATCTGGCAACTTTTCTTTTCTTTGGGGATCATCATATTTTCATGTGTTACTAATATGGTTCTTGCTGTTTTGTGGCTCGTCTGCTTTTCAATCTTGGATCATAACTCTGTGTTTCAGCTTCAGGTGCATGCCATTGAAGCTGAGTGCTTTCTGGTTCAACTTCCTTTCTTTTTCTCTTTCATTCTTTTTCATCTTTTGCATGTTTTGTTATCCCGTATAGAAATCTGATATACAGTATGACAATATATGTGGATAACATGTATGACATACTGTACAAGTTCATATTTGGAATTGACATATATAAATATATATTTTATTTATGAAAATATGTTAAAAACTTGCAAAAATTGCAGTTTACGAGTCTGTAAATATACAGTTGAAGTCAGAATGATTAGCCCCCATTTGATGTTTTAAAATATTTTTTCAAATTATGTTAAACAGAGCAAGGACATTTTCACAGTATGTCAGATAATATTTTTCCTTCTGGAGAAAGTCTTATTTGTTTTAATTTGGCTAGAATAAAAACAGTTATTATTTTTTTAAACACAAATTTACGGACAAAATTCTAAGCCCTTCAAGCTATTTTTTTTTTTGATAGTCTCCAGAACAAATCATCGTCTTAAAAAAGATCTAGTCAAATATTATTTACTGTCATCATGGCAACGATAAAATAAATCAATTATTAGAGATGAGTTATTAAATCTATTATGTTTAGAAATGTGTTGAAAAATATTCTCCGTTTAACAGAAATTGGGGGGAAAAAACGGGGTCTAATTATTCAGACTTCCACTGTTTGTTTATCTATCTATCTATCTATCTATCTATCTATCTATCTATCTATCTATCTATCTATGTATCTATGTATCTATCTATCTATCTATCTATCTATCTATCTATGTATCTATCTATCTATCTATCTATCTATCTATCTATCTATCTATCTATCTATCTATCTATCTATCTATCTATCTATCTATCTATCTATCTATCTATCTATCTATCTATATATATATATATATATATATATATATATATATATATATATATATATATATATAATATTTTTATATTATGTATGCCAGCATATGTAACTATTTGTCATTCCAACGGCTGGGAAAAAAAGGTCATTTTATATATTTTAAAATGTATGTTGCACATTTGAAATACAAATTAAATTCAAATATGAACTTGTTTGTCATATATGTTATTTGCATATATTTCAATGTATTCGATTTCTATATAGGATGTTGTTATTATCTTTGGTTGAACTTAGAGTAAAACTGGATAAAAAAAAAAAAATCAAACATTCAAAGAACAAAATAATTATGTTTACGTAGAAAAGCAGAAGTTGCATTAAACTGAATGATCTTATTTATGTGCCCAAACTTAACAATCAGCTTGAGAAATATGAAAATGATGTGTTATTGTGCACACTTTTGCATGCTTAAAAGGGTCATGAACTGCATTCATATATTTTTTTATTTTGATTTTGTTTGAGGTCCATAAATAGTATTTGATTTGTTTTTCATCCTGTTTTGACCTCTTTTTTTTTTAACACTGTTAGATGTGGTACGTAGGTATGCGTGTGCCATATTAAGTAAATACCCAAAGTTAGCATTTTAAATTAATAGATATAACATGGATTATTTTATTTAATGTTATTTTAGTTAATATATTTAGTTAATATTTAGTTAATATTGTAATTTGTCACTCACTTAAATGTTGACTTAAAAGAAACTTGTATGTGACGCATCATTTTTCAGTTACTTTGAAAAACTTGCCAAGTTGTGTCATGTATAACACAAATACAGAGTACTGAACCTAACTGAAAAGCTGAAACAGTGTATCTTACTGATATGTTCTGGAATGATCTCTATTTAAAAATTATATCATGTCTATACTGGACACAAGCAGCTTGATGTGGCTAATGAAATAAATAATCAATGGTTATGCTTGACTAAACAAATCAAACAATATTATTTTTCTAAAATATTCCATTTATTTGCACTTTTGACATGGAGACATGGATTTGTGACTATGCAACAACAGGTGTAGATAAAGGGTTTGGATGACAAGGCTGGCAAGTTGAAGACTTTGATTTTCCACAGCTGTTAACTCAAACATTTTCTTGCTTTCTCCTTTAAAACAGTGGCCGACTTAAACCAATGATTTAGATGTAGACGTTTAACTTTTTTATTTATTTATTTGTTTGTTTGTTTATTTATTTTTAACATCAGGTTTTATTATTATTTTTGTTGTTTTTTGCTCAACAACAAAGTTTAGAGTTTTAAATGACACAATGTTTTTAAAGTTTGTTGACCTCTTTTCTGTCGACAGGTTAAGGAAAATTAGATTTCTCAGTTCTTGACCCCTTTAAGAAAGGCATTCTAAATAAAAATAAAATCAAATGTCTGCTAGTATATCTGCAAAAAAGATTCTAGATGCTTTCTGCTTTGTTATAGAATCGAAAAACTACATTTTAGGTCTGAACTAAATTTACTTTTAATTAATATTCTTATATTACAATGTATTTACAATTCATTATCACTGTTTAGTGTAAAATCATCATGATATGGTTTAAAAGGGAATAAAATAAGGATTGTTTTCCTAAAACTGACATGTTCCGATCTTAGTTAATTCATAAAACAGAGCACTTGATGGATTTAATGTCACTTTATTTACTAATGTCATTGCTGCTGACTTTCAGTGACCAGATTTTTGTTTTTAAATTATTATTTCTGAAATGACCATGCAGAACTTCCTTCCTACATCCTGTGCTTATATTATCCAGTTAACATGTTGGACTTTAATTACACAGACATGAATTTGCATTTTATTTTTGCTTTTGACATATTTTTGGGTGTGAAATGACCACTTCCTTGTAGTTTGGCTGGCCTAAAAAATAGGAAGTAGGGAACGTCCATACTATTAGCCCCTTGTTTTTTTTTTTTTTTTTTTATTAACCTGCCTAGTTAATGTATTTAGCCTAGTTAAGCCTTTAAATTGCACAAATTGCACAAAACTAGTAAAATATTATGTACTGTCATCATGGCAAAGACAAAATAATAATTATTATTATAAAGAAGTTATTAAAACTTATGTTCATGTATTTGGAAAAAGACAAAAATATTCACAAGAGGGCTAATAATTTTGCCATCAAATGTATAAATCTACCCATTGAGAATGTTGTGAAAACCAAATTAATCATGACTGACCGGTAAAGCATTGGAAATAACCTTAGAATGAGAAAATAAACATGTACACTTACTGACAGGTCCTAACAATGTGGTCGAGACTAGTAGGCAGAAAATATGGTTCATCTGTAGATTCATTGTGCAAGAATTTAGCTCTGGGTTTGTGTGCATTGTTAAAATGCAACTGAAGAACAGAGATCGTCAGCTGCTGATTATCTCATAAACAATGAGATGATTTCTTTGTTTGTTTGTGCTTCCATTTCTCATTCTTTGTCATATCTCATGTATTTGCCGTGAATCTGAACTGATCAGAATTGTGCATTTCTATTTAAACGCCATGTCGTGACTCAGTGTGTTATTGTTGTCTCAGGCTGTTCTCGAGGGCCCAGTCCCCTCACCATGGGGGCCCAGGACACCCTGCCTGTGGCTGCAGCTTTCACAGAGACTGTCAGTGCCTACTTTAAAGGAGCTGACCCTAATAAGTATGTATCACAATCTTTGCATCTCAATATCATGCAGCTTTGTACATCTACTTTATGTGCAAATATTATGTATCTATCTCTACACACTGTCTCGATAAGAATATGAAAAAAGAAATACATGTAGAGTTCCCCTTCAACTAAAAATGCACACTGTTTTGTGATGGCTACATTGGAAAAAAAAGCCTTGACCAATATTCTAGCAAAACTCCAGCAACACATAATTTTCTGCAACAAAGTAATATTGCTTGCTTCATAACTCATGTTATACAAAACAGTGCTAGTTCACCCAAAAAAAATTAAATGTCATCACTTTTCATCACTTTTGTATCTTTTATAGATTTATTTTTCTATTATAAACAAAACAATAGCATGTCATTGACATCAGCAGTAGGAATATAAAATATCATAGAAGTCAATGGCTGTTTCTTTTCTTAAGCCCTTTTCACACAGTGATACCGGTAAATATGCTGTAAATTTCTGGAACGACTTTACCAGTAAATTAAAAAACCGCTGTTCACACAGGCAAGGATGTAACAGAATTTTTCCAGAAAAGACCATTCACACATCCATTCCAAAATACCTGTAAATTCTGACATCTTTAACTAAAAATGACCTCTAAACGATTGTGCTTGTATTTGTAAACATAGGAGTCTGGCTTTTGTTGATGGTTTCATTTTTATTTAAAGCTTTAGCATTTATGCAGCTGCGTTGTCCCAGAGACATCCATAGAATTGCAAAATTGAAAGAACAATTTTTATGGTATTTTAAAAAAGGGCCTGTTCACACACAGACCTTTCTCTGATAGACACAAAACCCCCTTTCATAAATACATACCCAGTGTTGGGCAAGCAACTTGAAAAATGTAGTGAGCTAAGCTATTTTTACAATTTTCTTTTTTTAAATTGGAGCAATTTAAATCCAAGGCAATCATATCTTAGCAATCAATAAAACTGTCAATGAAACATATGATGCATAATAATTCAGTTCAGTTATTTACTGTAAATAATATGCTGTACTAAACAGAAACTAATATGTAACAGTAAAAACAAAAAATCCAATTAAACCAGGTGTTACACATTAAAAAAAAAAAAAAATATATATATATATATATATATATATATATATATATATATATATATATATATATATATATATATATATATATTTTTTTTTTTTTTTTTTTTTTTTTTTTTTTTTTTGAGCACAGCATCAGAAATTAAGTTATTTCATCTTAACATGTAATTCTCGAGGTATGGTCATGAGATAAGGTTTAGGTTAAGGTTAGGTTTAGAATAAGATCAATTGTAAATGGTATGTTGTTTTTGAACACAATACATTGTTAAGGATTTTGCACCATTAATTGGACTTAATTTATATGCTATAACTTTTATATATAAAACATGTGCATAAGTTTCTATGGATATCAAATATGCTTTTTATCACGACTCACTGGACATTTTATTTCTATATTTTATTTGTTGTGGCAGTTTCAATTAGGGCTGGGCCCATAAGCAATATTATATTGACTCGCGATAATATTTATTTTAATAACAAAGATAAGCTCTGGGCTTTTTTACTCTGCATTGATCTAAGAGCCAATCACACAGCAGAAATGTACAGAAGTGAGAATCTTAAAGTGTGTTAATATTAGAGATGTACCAAATTTTCGGCCACTGAAAATGTATCATCCGAAATGTTATGTTATGCCAGGGTGTCACGGTGGTGCACAATAGCCTCTTAGCAAGAAAGCCGCTGGTTCGAGCCCCGGCTGGGTCAGTTGCCATTTCTGTGTGGAGTTTGCATGTTCTCCCCGTGTTTGCGTAGGGTTCCTCCGGGTGCTCTGGTTTCCCCCTCGGTCCAAAGACATGTGCTATAGGTGAATTGAATATGCTAAATTGTCCGTAGTATATGTGTGTGAATGAGTATGTTTAGGTGTTTCCCAATGTTGGGTTGCAGGTGAAAGGGCATCTCGTTGGCGGTTATTAAAGGGACTAAGCCATAGGAAATGAATGACTGAATGAATATGTTATGCCATTAAACTGACCCTCTAATTTTTGTGGCTTCAGTGATTGTTGGGATACTCTTTTAAATCTGGAAGCATTAACAACCTATATGGAAATATATATCAATATCATTCAATATGGAAAATAATTATTGAGATTTCATTTTTGCCATATCGCCTAGCGCTAGTTTCACATGTTGCACATGCATTTTTTCATGAGCCTTTTACCATAAAGTCAAATGCAACCTCATATAATATGCATCTGAATCCAATACTAGCAAATCGATCGAAACACGGAAATCCTTTCATCTAGTGGAATTTTAAAAGTAGCACTTATGTATTCTTAAAGGAACACGATATTTATGTAATTATAAACAAACTATAAATAGTAAAAATTAGTTAAATTATTAAGATAATGTAACACTACTCTTGTTTATATGTTTGCCAAAGTATTTTATTTTATGAAAGGTATTTTGTATTTTTGTAAGCATTTTATGTTTCATTTTTGCTTGAGGGGTGCTTGTTAAGATATTTTTATAATGTCATGCAATGTAAGCATCTCAACAAATTATGTAAATACATCAATATAATTTGCCCACATCTGTTTCAGATTTCACATTTATGCACTGAAACTAATTAAACAGTCATCTTTTTCCCTCACTCCATTAATATCTTTCATCTCTACATCTGTTTTTCCTCATTTGCTGATGTCATTTATTACAGAATATGAAATATTGATCACTGTTTCTAACACTGCTCCACACACCAGACCATCACTGATGCCGTCTTCTAATATTGTCGCTCTCTAAGGTGTGTGGTGAAGATCACTGGAGAGATGGTGTTGTCCTTCCCAGCAGGCATCACTCGGCATTTTGCAAATAACCCTTCGCCCGCTGTGCTAACCTTCAGCATAACCAACTACAGTCGTCTGGAACACGTCCTTCCTAACCCACAGTTACTCTGCTGGTAATAACAGCCATCTAACATCCACCACAACAGACCTAATCCTATTTTTTTGACTAGTAAGATTTACACATTTCTTTATTAGTTACATATACAGTGGAGGAAATAAGTATTGAACATTTCACCATTTTTCTCACAAAACATACTTCCAAAGGAGCTGTTGACTTTAAAGTTTCACCGAATGTTGGTTATGTGTAATAAAATGAAATAACACAGGGAAAAAAGTATTGAACGCATGAAGAAAGGCAGGTGTAGAAAGGCAGTAAAAGTCCAGACAGCAGCTGAAATCTTTCAGTAGTTATTCAGCAACCCTCTGCCTTTATCATCTTAAATTAATATGAGCTGCTTCAGTTTAACATCTACATTTTTTGAATGATGAAGATGAAACCAGAGTGGACATTTCAGCAAGACAATGATCCAAAAAAAAAACAGCCAAGGAAACTCTCAAAGGGTTTCAGGGAAAGAAAATCAAGCTGTAAAATGACCCAGCCAATCACTGGATATGAATCCAATAAAAAATACAAAATAAAGATCAGATTTGATAGATGAGACTCGCAGAACAATCAAGATTTTTACACTCGGTTGAAGAAAATTCATGCTTGAGCAATGCACATGACTATGTTCTCCATATGAGAGGGGTCTTTAGGCTGCCATCATATGGAGCCTTTATGTAAAGTATTAAATGCATTTCAGTAGGTCAGTACTTTCTCCTTGTCATTTCATTGTTATTTCACATAACTAATTGTTCAGATATTTGTTTTATTGTTATGTTTGTATTGTTTGGGTTTTTACCATAATCTAGTTTAAAAATATATATATAATATATAAAAAATATTGTTTCCAGGAAAAAAGCATGGTGTTCAATACTTATTTCCCCCACTATATTTAGCATCAGGCATGGAAAATATTATGAATTACGCTCTCAGAAATGAAGGTACAAAAGCTGTCACTGGAGCAGTACCCTGTTAAAATGTGAATGTTTGTATTTAAAGGGTACATGTTAGTGTTGAAAGCATCCATTGGTACCTTAAAGGAACATATTTGTGTATAAATGACCATGTGAAGAAAGAAAGAAAGAAAGAAAGAAAGAAAGAAAGAAAGAAAGAAAGAAAGAAAGAAAGAAAGAAAGAAAGAAAGAAAGAAAGAAAGAAAGAAAGAAAGAAAGAAAGAAAGAAAGAAAGAAAGAAAGAAAGAAAGAAAGAAAGAAAGAAAGAAAGAAAGAAAGAAGAGTACACGCATGAATGGTTCCGTTGAGTCTAATTTGAAGGTGTTTTCAAATGTCCAACAGTGACTCCACTCAGCCCAATCCAAACTCAAAGGAGTTCTGGGTGAACATGCCAAACCTGATGACCCATTTAAAGAAGGTGGCGGAGCAGAAACCACAGGCAACGTACTACAATGTAGATATGCTAAAGTATCAGGTGAGACTGTACTGAAACTGTAACTGTACTGAAACTGGTAAATAAAACTTAAAAACAAACTAAAATATATTTTTTATGGACATGTATTGCTTAGTTCACCCAAAAATGAAAATGCTGTCATCGCTTTCTCACCTTCCTCACTTGTTTCAAACCTATTTGAGATCCTTTCTTTGGTTGAACATAAAAGAAGATATTTTATATACTGCTGTAGTCAGCCACTGAATTAAACAATTTTCTTGCTGTGAATGTTGATAGATACTGGTTTCCAATATTCTTCAAAATATCTTCTTTTGTGTTTAATGGAAAAAAGAAACCAATAATGGTTTGTTTTGCACCATTTGTACCATTAGATGGTGAGTAAATTCTCATTTTTGGCTGAACTATTGCTAAGCAGTATTTACCTTTAATAGTTTTAGTTAAGATATTAACATTTCATTTGCATCTGCATCAGGTCTTACCCAAGGGTCCTCAGTCCACTCCTCTAAATCTAGCTGTGAGCTGGAGATGTGAACCCACAAGCACTGACCTGAGGATAGACTACAAATACAACGGCGGGGCCATGACCACTCCTGTGGCCCTTAACAATGTCCAGTTCCTCATCCCTGTGGATGGAGGAGTCAGCAAACTGCAAGCTGTGCTTCCCCCGGGTGCCTGGTGAGCGGATCATGGCGTTCTCCTGTTAATGCACTTCAATAATCTATTTATCCTGGAAATGAAGGATTGAGATAAGGGGTGGATATTGATTCAGATGTTCTGATTTGCATTTCGATTCAATTCTTGATGCAAATCTCCATTCTTGACTCATTTCAGTGAAGGTAGATTTAATACAGATGATTTCCAAATTTTGAATAAATAATGAAAAAAGATGCCTGTATATATAACTGTTATTATTTCTTGTAGACTAAAAATCAGAGTATGGAATATAGAAACTGAAAATAAGTATTGACAATTATATAAAAAAAGGATTAATCTAATATGATCATAATTCAGTTAATTTTGAGACAGGAAAATGTTTTAATAAATGTTTTAATAAATGTTTTAATGTTCTATAAATAGCAAAAGGTGTAGGACGTATGGGCAAATTTTATTATTGATTTTATAAATATTAAATAATGTTTTATTGTTTTTTTAATAGGAATTCAGAACAGCAGAGAATTTTATGGAAAATTCCAGATATTTCACAGAAGTCTGAGAATGGAGGTGAGATTCAAATGTATCTGTCTGTCAGAAAAATACAGGAAAACATATTTTTGTTTGTTTGTTTCCACTATCTGTCAAAAGTTTTAGAATATTATGATTTTAAATGTTTTTTTTTTCTTTCAGTCAGCATATTAGATTGATTTCTGAAGAATTGTTTAACTAAAGTATTGATTGAAATCACATGATTAAATTATATTTAAAAAAATATATATTCAATTAGAAAACACTTTTGTTTAGTTATTTTTGAATCTATTATTATCATCCTTTAGATCAAATAAATGCATACTTGGTGAGCAGAAGAGACTTCTTAAAAGACGTCTAACTATTCTAAAACATCTTACCGGTAGTCTGTCTGTCTGCCTGTCTGCCTGCCAAAGTACACCACATTTTGACAATTAATATTTTTATCCATTTCTCAGTGAATATAGACAATGTATTTTTGGCTCATTTAAACAAAAACGGATTTATTAAACATATATTTATTAAAGTAATATTTTAGTCATCAAATTTATTTAGAAATTGAAACATAATAAATTAAATTCAAGCAAAATATTGCAATCAAAATGACAACCCCTTAAACTAAAGTTTTACAATGTTTTGCTTGTCTTGATTTTTCCTCTTTTTTAAATTTGTATTTAATATTTTTCTATAACATTAAAATTTGGGTGTACTAGTTTTTGGATAAATATTGTAAGTTATTTTGTCAGACAAAGCTCTAGATTTGGCTTCAGTACTGACTAATCTAATGTATATGGACAAATATAATATTGTTAAGTTTCCTATTAAATATCTAAATTCAAAAGAGAGATTTGTAAGGTGGTGTACTTATATATGCTGAGCACTTTTATCTTTCAAAATAGTTAAACTGGCTCCAAACCTTGTGAGTAGCATTTAGCGCTGTACCATAAATAACAATTGTCAAACAATACTTGTCTTATTGCTCCTCTCTTTCTTGATATCTTGAGGTGTGGGCTCTCTGCTGGCCCGTTTCCAGCTGACAGAGGGTCCCAGTAAACCGGCCCCAGTGGCAGTGCAGTTCACCAGTGAGGGCAGCACTCTGTCTGGCTGTGACATTGAGCTAGTTGGCCTTGGCTACCGTTTTTCTCTCATCAAGAAGAGGTTTGCAGCAGGTGAGCTTTATGAGAGACAGTTTTATGACATGTTTTTTTGCAACATATTCTCGCACATCAAATGTTGACACTTAGATCGGGACCCCATGGCATCTCTATTCCTATGATTTTAAGTTCTTTGCCTTGTGTTTACAATCAGGTGGCTGAACTTTTATTTAAAATTGCACAAATAAATTAAAATTCCAAGTTTATACAGTCCCTCTAGGATTTTATGCATCCATTGTTTCTTTAGATTAAAGCAAGAGAAATATTATTTTATGGACTTTCATACAAGAATTGAAGCAAATATTGCCATAAGTATTGGCAGAAGCTTTTACAAAATTAGTCATTTTAGGGCATATTTTTGTTTTTTAAATATACAGTATAGAACTGCTTTTTAAAAACAGTTTGTTAAAAATATATAGTGATAAAAATTTCTAGAACAACTGGCATATTTAAAAGAGATTTCAGATTTTGTCTGTGTCTGTCACTGTTTGCTGAACAGCACCAGAGCCACGCTGACCATTAGAGCCAATCGGATACTTTTCTGTTAAGCGCATGATCAATCATAGGTGTTTAACAACTCACTCAACAACGCTCAAAAACAAGCTGGATAATATTTACATTTGTTTAATTGCTATAAATGCTCATGTTGTTTTGTGCATGGACTTTACTTTTGTTTGATAAATTTAAAAAAATATGTTTTCTTTGAGCAGGTAAAATTAAAGGTACAGTTTATATATCTGACTGCTTGATTTAAAAGACAAAACTCATAGCAGTTTTATTTCTGTTTTAATTATTAGCCCCTTTAACCCTTTATTTATTCATTTATTTATTTTTAATAGTCTACAGCAGTGGTTCTTAAAGTGGGGGTCAGGACCCCCTGGGGGGTCGTGAGACAATGAAGGGGGGTTGCTTGGGGATTTCTAAAAATCTGCATGCATATAAAAATTCATCAGCCTTTCAATTTACTTTCCATTGGACATTGGACTGGGCTTATTGTGCTAGATTAACATCACAGCAATAGCATTACTTGCAGAATTTACAGTACAGTGTTAAACTTTAACACCTTTATGGCACTCACATACATTAAAAAAAGGCCACGACTGAACAAGGAGGATGATCTCCAAGTCTCCAAAATTAAACCAAGAATAGTATTGTGCTATAAACATTGTGCTTACTATATGAGATTAATATAAAATAAATCAATAATGATTGTAAAAAATAGACTTTTGCACTATTTTGTGATGTCAATAAACTTGTTTATATAGTTCCTGTTAGTGTATGTGCACCATTGTGTGCAATATTCGATTGCTTATAATCACCTGAGGATAGAGCGCATCGTGAGTCACTGGTGTTGTTATTTTAGGGGTCGCGAGCTGACAAGTTTGAGAACCCCAGGTCTACAGAACAAGCCATCGTTATACAATAACTTGCCTAATTACCCTAACCTGCCTAGTTAACCTAATTAACCTAGTTAAGCCTTTAAATGTCACTTTAAGCTATATAGAAGTGTTTTGAAAAATATCTAGTCAAATATTATTTACTGTCATCATGGCAAAGATAAAATAAATCAGTTATTAGAAATTAGTTATTAAAACTATTATGTTTAGAAATGTGTAATGTGCATGTATCTTTCTTTTTTTTTTTACAGGAAAATACATGGCAGACAACTAAACACCACCTCTGACCCATGCAAGTCTGCACATTTGGACCAATTCTGAATCTTTAAACACAGGACAGATGTGAAGCCTGACCCCTACCTGACCTTATATGGATGAACCTTTGTAGATGTGCGATACAGGTGGATCCTCACACACTCCAGCAGTATTATATGAGTTGCATTCTAAATGATAAAATGTGGACCGTTTTAGGGTGTACTTCTTATATTCGTAAACTGTATTCACTTTGCAACATCCGTATTACGGCCTGGGTTTGTTCGTAAGGTTTTAGCCTCTTCTTTCTGTCCGACGTGTTATTGGCTGTGCCTACCTGAACCTGAATTCTCTCTACAAGTGATACTAAACGTGCTGTTTTTCTTACTCTATGCATTCAGTTTGTCAAAAGTATCACCTTTTCGAACAAGGTAGCAAATTAGTACAACAGACTGACTGACTGTCTAAAAGAGGAATGAGCCTTGGCCACAAGATGGCGCTATACTGTTGCATGTAGTTTGAGATCTGCGCCGGGTTTTGGTGTTGCTCATGCACATCTAGTCATGAAAATGTATTCAGGAATATCGCATTTTAATTCACTCAGTGCAGTCAGGTGCGTTAATTGGAGAAAAAAATTATAGAAATTATATTTTGTTGAAACTCTTGGAATTTTTAGACAGCCACTGCTTTAAAAAGAAAAATCTCCGGCTTGCAATAGACACAGACTTAATTTTCCTCAACAGAAAAATCAATATAAATATATATAAATACATATATCTTGAAGGCCGTTTGGTGTTTCTCGTATTGTTAAATAGCCTTTCCGTTGTTCCCGAGGGAGCAGTGCTAGACATCAGAGTACATGACATCATTCTATTTTTATTTATTTAATAATTTGTTGTACATATATATAAACAAAAAAAGAAACCAGTTAAATTGTATATGAATAGACTTTGAATGGTATCATACTTTAGGAGTTTTTGTTATCTGTGTAGTTGGGTAAGCTGTGTACAGTATAATGCCGAGGTATAATTTTTAAATTTATTTCAGATATAATTTTTTTAAAAACTCAAGCGCAACAGAAAATATAGGGTATATATTGGGTCGAGGGGTGACGTTTGAAAGAGAGAAGGATGCTGTATCTACCTAAACGCGTCATGCTTAATGTTTTGACAGTGTTAATGTACAGCGGCACTATTAGTTGAGCTTTTGGACATTGTAAATTGTTTTCTCATTCATGCAGATGTGTTTGTATATTCAGCCTCACGTTTAAAAAAAAAAAAAAAACAACTTCAGTGTCCTGAGCATGAGCCCTGCGCTTGAGAACATCTTTATTTTGCAAACGGTAACGGTCTCTGTGAGATGACAAGGTTCTTGAGTGGTTCAATGACCAAATCGCTTTTTTTTTTTCTTTCTTTATTTTTGTTTGTACGTGTATCTCCAGAATTGTCCTTTAAGAGAAAATAAGCTGCATATTTTTTAAATGTTTAAACCTATGAATAAAGTGAAAACTATTGTTTCTTGTGGAAAAAAAAAACTGTTTAACTTACCAGGTGTTCAGAAGTTCACTGTCAAGAACAAACATTTCGGTTCCATCCCTTTTAGTGTCTAGTGATGATTTTGGTTTGGTTTGATGTTGGATTGATATTTGCAAGTTTAGGGACCGCCTCTAAAGCTACAAACACAGAATATGCCAGAATTTAAAGCTCAAATGTATTTGAAGAGAATGACTTAAGGCAACACTTCAAAGGAAATCGATTAATAAGTTGATATGAAGTCATTTAAAAAAAAAAATCGAAGTTTGTTTTGAGATTTTTACACAAGTTTGAAAGCAATCTTTTGGGAAGAGTTCGGTTTTGGCTCCTAAACACCTTTAATAGCTGGGACACACCAATCAAATGCCAAACAGCTAGCAAAAAACAAAACCAAAAAGCTCCCTGTGAACACACCAAATGGACGAAAGCTGACTGAAACAATAGCTGCGTTCTGCACATGCACAGGGGCAATATTTTTTGTTTTCTGTTTGCTCGTTCGACAAAAAGGGACCGAATTCCAACACGCCAAGACAAAGTATTAATCAAACAGCATTTAGTACCATAATCAATCACAGTAATTGTAATTCACCACGGAGAGATTTCCTCCTGCAAATTTGTCTGTTAACCTACACTCGTAGTGTTAAAGGTACAAAATCTGTCACTGGGGTGATTTCTTTTCTAAATACAGGTAGATAGTACCTTTAGGGTACACTTTTGAATCTTTAGGGTTCCCTTTTAAGTTAATGTAACGCACACATTTGTATTTTTTAGGTATTAATATGTACCTTTAAGTATCTGTTAGGAACAAAAATGTACCTTTTGAAAAGGTACAGTCCCAGTGACAGATTTTGTACTTTTATTTCTAAGCGTTTAATAATCCATATTGTTTGCAAATATTAGAGAAATGTTGTGAAATTACAGCTAGCCTCCTTGTGTTTCTTCTTGACTTGAATTGTTTACTTGAAAGTCAGAGGTCCGATGCCGATTCATGATGCTGAATTTGGCCAATGTGATTCGATGTTCACCCGACGAGAACCGATGAGGGGGGCACACCAAACAATTAGCCTGATCAACAAAACAATAAAGCCCCACAGCCAGTTGTTGGCTTGGTGTATCCTGGCTTTAAGTTACCATTGGTTCGTGGTTATTACACAATGGGTGGGTGTATGCTCTGTGATCACATCAAAGAAGTACCACCTGCAGTGCTGGGGTGTTGGAATGTTTTAAAAAAAAGGCAGAGCGACTCTAAAATGATTTCAAACTTTTTTTATCCCTCAAACAAAGAATTTTAATTAAAATAGCTTAGTTTGAAGTATACCAGGTCTTTAAAGTCCTAAATCCAAATTTAAGCGTTAATGTAGTTGTCTGATATAATGAATACCCTTCAGATTTTTTATATTTATTCAAATTAACTCAAGGGTGGCGCAGTAAGTAGTGCTGTCGCCTCACAGCAAGAAGGTCGCTGGTTCGAGCCTCGGCTTGGTCAGTTGGTGTTTCTGTATGGAGTTTGCATGTTCTCCTCGTGTTGACGTGGGTTTCCCTTGGGTGCTCCGGTTTCCCACACAGTCCAGAGACATGCAGTAAAGGTGAATTGGGTAGGCTAAATTGTCCATAGTGTATGAGTGTGTATGGATGTTTCCCAGAGATGGGTTGCAGCTGGAAGGGCATCCGCTACGTAAAACATATGCTGGATAAGTTGGCGGTTCATTCCGCTGTGGCGACCCCAGATTAAAAAAGGGACTGAACCGATTAACTCAAATTATATGTTGTTCTTTACTACCAAATGGGTAAACAAAATGTGCTGTAATTTACAGATTATTAGCATTTGAAGATAATGACTTATTCAATATTAAGACTATAAAGTGTTCATCTAGTGTAGGTCTACCTTGTAGTTTTGATATCCTGTACTTTAAAACAATATTCACAGCCACATACGCTTGTACACAAAATATATCTTTATTTAAAGGGACAGTTCACAAGAATAGACATTCACCAGTTTCTCTCTTCTGTTGAACACAAAGATATTTTTAACACTAAACTTGTGAAGCTTTGGATACACTTGAAGTTCAGTAATTTATAAGTAAATGTTTTATTTGTGAGTGAACTATCCCTTTAAAACTCAATAATATTATACAGCAATTATATATCTATATGATTTGATAGTTTACTTGAATGAATATAATAAGTATAAAAGTTGTTCACATTACAGCTGACACTTTTTAGATTTATGACTAAGGGCGTACCCACACTATGTACAGTTAACTTGAACCGGATCGAAGCATGCTTGTCCCCCCCATCTCCCCCGACGGCCCGCACTCACAATACATTTGGGCCTGGGCACGATTACATCATCGATGCTGCGCTGTTCAGTAAGCGCTCTCGCTCAGCTCAGTGGTGATTGCTTTAATTATATCGTTTAAGTCATTTGAAATCCTGTGACACGCAGTCAAATATTTTGCCGAACAGATCAGCTACTTTTGATGCTCATAAACAACCATAAAGTCCTCGTGCTACAGGAATTGGAAGGTTTGCTGAAGGTGCAGCTGTCGTGCAGTGAGAGGTTTGCGTCTTTAATAAACTATAACAGTTTGTGTTCACTGAACTGGAATGATTAATAAATCTATGAAACAGTCCCTAAAAAGTCTTGTCTAGCTTTCAGTTTCGGGCTTAGGCGCGTTTTGCACTCACACACAAGCAAACCGCGCCCAAGTGAACCGTGCGCAGGCACACCTCTTCCAACCGGGCCAGGGTCGGCCAAGTGAACCGTGCCTGAGCCCTATTCAAAGCACTCACACTTCTCAAATGATCCGGGAAACTTGCCTGGACACGGTTCGGATAGCATAGTGTGAGTAGGCCCTGAGTGTTATTTAGCTTTAAATTGCAGCATATTATATTTCTACGCTGTAAAAAATGATTGCTTAAATTTAAAAAAAAGTGAGTAAATACATTGCCTTAAAAGTGACAAGTTGAATTCACTTAAAAAGTGACTAAACCCCTTATAACCTGGAACTGTTTTAGTTTGATTCAACTTATTTTTTATAATCATGCACTTAGTTAATTTACTTAAAAATTTTTTAGTAGACTTAGTTTAAGTAAAGTCAAGTAATCGTTTTAAAAGCAACAGGCTTACTCACTTATTTTAAGTATAATCAACTTATTGTTTCTAAAGCAACAGGTTTACTCATCCTAAAGTCAACTAATCGTTTAAAAAAGCAACAAGTTTACTCATTCTAAAGTCAACTAATCGTTTTAAAAGCAACAGGTTTACTCATCCTAAAGTCAACTAATCGTTTAAAAAAGCAACACGTTTACTCATTCTAAAGTCAACTAATCGTTTTAAAAGCAACAGGTTTACTCATCCTAAAGTCAACTAATCGTTTAAAAAAGCAACAAGTTTACTCATTCTAAAGTCAACTTATCGTTTTAAAAGCAACAGGTTTACTCACTAAAAGTAAAGCCAACTAATTATTTTTAAAGTAACAGCTTTACTCACTCATTTTAAGTAAAGTCAACTAATTGTTTTCAAAAGCAACAGGTTTACTAACTTATCCTAAGTAAAGTCAACTTGTTGTTTAAAAGCAACCGGTTTACTCACTTATTTTAAGTAAAGTAAACTAATCGTTTTAAAAGCAACAGGCTTGCTCACTCATTTTAAGTAAACTTATTGTTTCAAAAGCAACAGGTTTACTCACTTATTTTAAGTAAAGTAAACTTTTTGTTTCAAAAGCAATAGGTTTAATCACTAATTTTAATTAAAGTCAACTTATTGTTTCAAAAGCAACAGATTTACTCACTCATTTTAAGTAAAGTCAACTTATAGTTTTTAAAGCAATTGGATTTACTCACTAATTTTAAGTAAAGTCAACTAATAATTTTTTACAGTGTATAATTTTAGAGATGGTCACAGAATTTGCAGATATTAAGCATCAAACCAACTTTATGCCAGTGCGATGTTTGAAGAAGAAAACTGTTTTTTTATGTTTCCATCCACATTCAGCGGCATCTGTTAAACCCTGCATTGAATATTTTCTGAGCACTGTAACTAAAGGGGTTTTTTATTGCACTGAGATTAACTGAAGAACAAATCAAGAGTTTCGCAGTTGAAAGAAAAAGGAAAAAAAACAGCTATGAACTGAATTGTGTGTGTAGTGCTTTATCAGTATGTCTACATGGTGAAACGTCACTCAGATGCGCAACAGAAGCGAGAAAACTCATGTCAGTGTAGATGTACGTGGAGCTGTGTGTGAATGTAGTATGTGTGTGATGCGTGGGAGGGAATGCGTGTGTGAGAGTGTGTGTTTGCTGTCTGGTAACTGTAAATCATCTCTTCCCAGCAACATGTGCAAGCTGTGTTTGTACAAAAAAAAAATGTTAACAAAGATTTGAAATATTGAGATTACCTTGCTCTTTCCAAAACAATAAAACATAAGCCTGATAAGTGGATGTGGTGTGTTACATGCAAGATTTGTTGCAATGAAATAAATAAAAACAAAATAAAACCTAAAAATATGCTAAGTATTATATATGATGTAACATTATATTAGTGTAAAAACTTTCAATATTATTATGTACTTATAGGGCTCTATTTTGATGATTCATGCACAAAGTGCAAAGCGCAGGGTGCAAACGCATTAAGGGCCTGTCAGAATCCAATTTTGCTAATATAAGGATGAAAAAATCTGTCAAAAAGGGTTGAGTTTATTTTCTTAATGAGTTATAGGTATGGTTTGAGAATAAACCAATCCGAGTCTTATCTTCCATTCCCTTTAAGAGTCAGTTGCGTCATGCCATGGTGCATTTGCTATTTATATGACGACTTTGTAAAAGGAAACACTGAGCGCTTCACTAGAGAGAAAACAGTTACACAGAGCATCTAGTGTGAGAATGAGAGATAAGCCTTCTCATTATCTACTTTCACTCTCGTGGATACCTTGTACGCACAGACATCAATTAGCCTATAAATAATTAATTTAGTTTATTAAGTGCAAATATTTGCTTCAAAGCTATTTCTAAATTCAGCTGTGCCCCATATGGTCTAAAACCTGACAGGTGGACAAATATAAGCTTGTTTTTAATAATACAAGTATTAATTTGCATATAATAAATAATACTGCTAAGAATACTAACCCCCCTTCATCACCCCACCTCCCCACCCCCCGAGATGAAGAAGGCATGAATGTATGGTTTTTGTATTTATGTAGGCTAGAAAATAATATGTTTTGTATTATTTAAATCATTTGTATTTTTATCCCATATATATCCTTATTATTTTAATTCTTTTTCATATGTAAAGATATTTGCGTATTGCTATACATCTTGTGTGTATAAAGCAGCGTGTAAGCGAGGCGCACAACTAACGCGCTCTGCGCGGGACAATAGACCGGCATTGTTCTGGTCTATTGAACAGACTATTATAGTTTCTCAAAATAGCAGAGTGCCAGCAATGTGCCTCAAAACGCCTCCTTTTTTAGACCAGAACACCTATGGGCACACATATGAGCGCAAATGCATTTGCTATTTAAACAGCGTGGCGCAAAACGTCAAAATGACTCTTGCGCCAAGCTGAAACTAACAAACAATTATTGCGTCACGCTTTGCGCCACATTGCGCCAGGTGTATGATAGAGCCCATAAATTTAGAAAAGTAGTTTGTTAATGAGAATATTAAGAATTATATTTAATAATTAAATTTATATCAATTATTAAAATATTAAAACATGTTCATTAAAATATAAATTACTAATGATGTGATAAGTATTTAATTTAATTTTTTATTATAATTATTTTTAAATATTAATTTAGCAATAATGGTACATTAGGATTCTAAACCATTAAATAATACAATAAGGTCATTTTTTAACAATTTGCTAATTATTACATATGATAAAATATTATATTGCAATGTAAACACTCCAAATAAACGTATAAAAGTAGTTTATGTTGATAATAACATTTATTTTTTAATATTTATTAAAATCTTAATATTAATTAAAGTAATAATATTAAAAAGAATATTCATTCCTAACATTATTTGATACATTAGTATTAATGTTATTTTAGAAATTAATATTCTGAGCCAATAAATGGTGGAAGATTTAGATAAAGATAAAGATTCATTAAATATTTAATAAACATTTTTTAACATTAACTTGTTAACTTGTAACTATGTTACACTTGGTTTGATCCAATAGATAATTAAATAAAATATTGTGAAGCTATAGTGATGATGCAAACACAATGTGTATGCAATAATATTTATTGACAAAGTTTGCAAAATACAATATACAATTAAAACAATTGATTACTGCCTTCCACCAACTCACAATTATTTTTTTAAATACAATACAGAAGAAAGATCAAATCCAAATAATGTAAATGAACACAACCTGTCTGCAAATTAAGTAGTTATAACAACTGAATGTACACTTTATAGAGAAGCGTTCATATTCACTTGAACTCAATATGCGTAAGAAAAGGAAGAGAAAAGTAGAGTCTGTGCTCAGCAGAGGAACGTCAGGTCACTTTTCTTACAGCCAAACTGACAGCAAACGCTATCGAGGTCTCGTCTGCTTACAGCAGAGTCCAGACTCTCTCCGAGATCCTCAACACTGGAGCTGACCCCTCCATTCAGAAAACCTGAACAGACACAAACACACCGCATTACTTCACATTCAAACCCAAAAGACTATGTAGATTCAGAGATTTAGAAAATTATATCTGGTGAGACATGGAAAGTGAACTAATATTTATCTGCATAGATCCACAAAGACTTTTTTGGATCACATGTTTAATAATATATTATGTTTAAATATGCAAATAGGGTGTTGTTTATTGAAATATGCTAATTTGCAAATATTTAGCACATCTGAACATTAAAAAAAAGTCAGGATAACTTTCTTGTTATAGTTTTTTTTTTATTTGCTTATATAAAGGTTCAAAATTATTGCTTAGATTTTGTTTTGTTTCATTTACAAAAACTTGAACATCATAAAGTCAGGTTTCAAATTCTTGTTGTTGTTGTTTTTTTTTTTTTCATTTACAAAAATCTGAACGTTAGATTAAAAAACTAAAACAAGAAATTTTAAGAATTTTAAAACAAAAACATAATCAAAACTTTATCAATTTTGAGAATTAGAAAAATACTATGAGCAGCCAGAGAGAGAGAAAAAAAAGTTTTTGTAGAATAAAATTTATATAATAAGGCAAAATATGACTGCAAATATCCTGCTTTAAAAACATACAAGGCAAATTTATTACAATTTCTGTAAATCCAAGTGCTGTTTAATCAGGCTATTTTTCTAACACATTTTTAAACATAATAAAAAATGATTTTGTCTTTGTCATGACAGTACATTTTACAAAATATATTGTAATCAAGATATTAGTATTCAGTTTAAAGTGCAACTAACTAAATTAATTAGGTCAACATAGGAAAGTTACTGGACAACAGTGGTTTGTTCTGTATATAGCCAACAGGAAAAATAAATATATTTTCTTAATGGGCTAATAACACTGACCTTAAAAGATATTGTCATTTACAATAAAATCCTTATTTGAAAAATAATTACAATTTGGAGAGCTAATAATTTGCCTTTAACTGTAAGTATGAACAAAACTGATGATGGTGATGTACGTCAATTTTGGTGAGGTGAAAATTTATGGATCAGTGCAGGAGATTGAACTAAATTAGAGAAAACAGCCTTAAAATGTATTAATAATAATAATAATAAATTTATTTTTATAAAGCGCCTTTAAAATTAAGTTTAAATTAAATTAAGTTTCTCAAGGCATTTTATATAATAAAATCATTTTTAAATCAGCACATAATCTGACCGGGAGCCAAAGTAAAGAGTTTAGGTTTGGTAAAGGTAAAGGAAGGTAGAAACCTAAAGGATTTTTAGGTTTGTAATATCTACTAACACAAAATAAATAAAGTGCAACAAAGAAAAAACATAAGTGCATTCTGTATTTTTTCTTTAAATTAGAATAAAACAAACAATCAAAAGCTCAAAAGCGGCAGGTCACTGTTCTTCAGTGTTTTGAAGGACATAAAGTATGCAGCGAGTTCTGGAGTGAAGTGATTGACAGAAATGTTTGCTGCACTGTGAAAATGACACAGAAGTTTTCTGCTTTAACTCAACTTGTGTCAGTCTAATGGGAAACTAATTTAACCAGACATTGTTCATCTGCTGCTGACTGGAGGAGACTTGAGCTCACTGATACAATTTAAAAAGTATTCTGTTGAATATCATCAGGACTGACGGCTCAGGCAGAAGATACACTTACATTCATATACAAATAGTGGAACCTTATGCTACTCAGCTATTTTTTCCCAGCTGAATGCAAAGAAAAATACTAGAGAAATAAGCAATTACCAGAAAACTAAAATCTGACTTAAAATTCAGCTAGTGGCCAAAAAAGTGTCTCTTTTTAATTTTACTTTGAATTAAATATTCAAAAAATGAGCATAGTATTAATGCTGTATTTGTTACTAATATTTGCTAAAATAACACTGAATATATAATATAATATAATATAATATTATATAGGGTGACACAGTGGTTAGCACTTTCGCCTCACAACAAGAAGGTCGTTGGTTCAAGCCCCGGCTCGGTCAGTTGGCATTTCTGTGTGAAGTTTGTATGTTCTCCCCGTGTTGACGTGGGTTTCCACCGGGTGCTCCGGTTTCCGCTACAGTCCAAAGACATGATGTATAGGTGAATTGAATAAGCTAAATTGGCCATGTATGAGTGTGTGTGTGTGAATGCAAGAGTGTGGGTGTTTCCCAGTGCTGGGTTGCAGCTGTAACGGCATCCGCTGCGTAATAACATGTGCTGGATAAGTTGGCGGTTCATTCTGCTGTGCGACCCCTGATTAATAAAGGGACTAAGCCAAAAAGAAAATGAATAATATAATATAATATAATATAATATAATATAATATAATATAATATAATATAATATAATATGATATAATATGATATAATATAATATAATATAATATAATATAATATAATGAAAACTAAAAAAGTAAAATCATGTATGCAGCTTGAAAGAAAATAAATGTTAACTAACAAAATTTAAGAATAAAATTAATAGTAATAATAATAAAATATAACAATAAAAATTCTTTTTTTATTTTAACAAAATTAACTAAAATGAAAAAAATATAGACATATATAAAAATGGAAAAATAAAATGTAAACAAAAAATACAAAAAATAAAATGTTATTTGTAGAACATTTCAATATAACAATTTTAACATAATAATATTCATTTTTATATATTATTAAATATTAAATATTTTTCACTTTTATTAAATATCTTTCATCTGTTTATTTCATCTGTTAATTTATTATTTATTTAATTCTTTGAATGATTTAAAGCCTTTATATTTTAATTATGAACAGGCTAGGGATGACATGCATAGTTTGTAATAACAAAATTAATAAAGTATAGTGTAAAACTATAAGCATATCTAAAATGCTGATCTTATTTTGTGTAAATGTATTTCTATCTTTAATAAGAAGGCCCAATATTCGCGTGACTAATAATACAACCATAATGTCATTCATTCATTTATTTTCTTTTCGGCTTAGTCCCTTTATTAATCTGGGGTCGTCATGGTGCAATGAATTGCTAACTTATCCAGCATATGTTTTATGCAGCAGATGCCCTTCCAGCTGCAACCCATTACTGGGAAACACCGCACATTTTTTCACACACATACACTACGGACAATTTACCTAACCCAATTCACCTATAATGTCTTAGGACTGTAGGGTAAAGTGGAGCACTCAGAGAAAACCCACACGAACGCGGAGAGAACATTCAAACTCCACACAGAAATGCCAACTGACCCAGCTTGAACCAGTGACCTTCTTGCTGTGAGGCGATCGTGTTACCACTGCATCATCGTAACGTCCACAACCACAATGTAAATAATCGAAATAATTGCAAATTATAAAGAAATTAATTCAACAAAAAAACAAATACTAGCACTTTATTTTACAGCCCTTTTCGGCATGGTCTTATTTATGTACTTATGAATAATAAAACACATGCCTTGATGTATAAAAAGTAAAGTGCAACCATTCCTTAATTTATTATTAACATAAACAAACTAAACTCGCCCTGAAGCCCTAAAAAGCCGGTGAATGTGCTGATGTTTCAGACTTACCTTCTCCATCCTGCGGGCTGCTGAGCCTCCTCCACCTGGAGCCTCCACACGTATAGACGACCGCGCGGATGAACTCTCTGCCGCACAGCTTCACCGTCCTGACATCCGCCTGCACTTCCCACACACTACACACAGACCACAGCAGCAGAACCGGCAGCAGGACGGCCGGACGACACATGCTCCTCATAGTGACTTCAGTGACGCGCGCCAAGTGTCTCTCTCGGGTCTTCTGGATCTCCCGCTCGCGAACGTCTGGTTTTCTGAAAGAGACGCGACTCCATTTTATGGCGACCTGTGGAACGGAGCGCCAAACCCCACCCAACTTCACTCGATCCCCTTAAGTCAAACAAGTTTGGTCACAAAATCAAAGGCCAGCAGGTATTTAGGTGCTTTACTGCACCAATCTGGAACCAAATTACATCCTTAGGGACAAGCTGTTGTCTCTTAACATCTCCAGTTTAATGGGCTTATGGCAATGATATTCTCTTTAATGAAGGGATAATCCAGTCACATAAAGAGCAACGGTGCTCCCCGAGCAAAACAGATGTCCACTATCTGCTGATGTGACCATCAAACTATGTTCCCTTAAACCTGGCTGGTCTACGAAAAAGAGTGCAAATGAGCAATATGGCTATAATCCCAGCCATTATGGTTTTATGGCTGGATGTCTACTGACAAAATGACATAAAAGTCTGTCAGATGAAATCAATTATAGTAGCTAGATATAACGAATGGGGAAAACTTGTTTTTCAACAAAAAGAAAGTTGGCCTAGTCGAGAATCAAAATTAGAGATCAACTTACAATTTCCTAAATTTCGAGGTCTCTGCTTTGTCCTGTTTCCTGCTTTACATGTGAAACTTAGCAGATTTACATATTTCATTCTGAAAAACTGTATAAAAATATAAATAATATATAAATAAAACATATACTAATAAAAAAATTTAGATCCACAGTGACATTTCTCCTGGTTATTGGTCTAAGGAACCTGTTTGTAATATACTTTATTTTGACAAGCCTCAAACATCATTTGTTTCTGTTTGGAGTGGTGATCCTAGACATCAAATGACAGCTTCAGCCACAATATTCTTAATCACGCCGCTCTTACCATTAGTTTGCTACTATAGAATGATTTGTAAAAAGAAAGCCCCGGCCCCTTCTCAATATCAGTTGGTAGCAAAAGTACGAAAAACTACAAGTCTCAGCAACGTCCAGTTCACACAGATATTATTATCTTATTTTCACTGACTTTGCAAGATGGTGGGCCAAATTGACAAACCCACTAACATCAGGTTGTCCAGATGAAAGCCAAAGGCATAAAGACCATTCAGCCATACCAAAAGAAATTGGTAGTTCCCAATCTGTGATTCAAGTTCCCAATCTGTGATAACTCATTCAAGTTCCTCAAGAATTGGGTTGAAAAACAAATGCCCAGAGAACAAGATAAAGTAGAGAATCTCAATTCATCAACGTTATTAAAAATGATTACAGTTCAGCTCTGAACAGGGTAAGAAAAGGGTAAGCACAGAGCCCTGATCTAAACCTGACTAAAAATAACTGGAAAATCCTTGGTTACTTCATGCTCTTTTTGACTACTGTAACTTTTCGAAGTGTTAGTTGTAATCTTTTTCCAAGCTACAGTCATTGCTGTTGTTGAAAACTTTTCCACAAAATGAAGGGTTTTAGTTAAAGCGCTTTGATTTTATTGTAATACACACCATAATCAATGCTATAAAGTTAATCCTAAAAATGCTCACTATCTGACCCTGAGAAAAAGCATTAATATATAAAAGAAAATGAATGGGTTAGGTCAACTGAGCATAAAGTCATGTGTAAAAATGAATTCTTCATTTGTAATTTGTGCCTAATGAATCTGGAAGAAGACCATTGAATATGCTTTTTCACAAATAAATGTTAGATACTGCAACTACAACTATTTGCATGCTTTAAGCCAATAAGCGACTTTTATAAATTATATTATATTATATTATATTATATTATAGTATATTTTATTACATTACATTACATTATATTATATGTAGTTGAAATCACATTGTCAATAACATAAATTTGCTGAATAATATAGCAATATATGGAAATCTGTGGAAGTACCTCTACGGCACATTAAGCTCTTATAAGATTAGAGCTGAGAGTTCATAAATCTTGTTTTGGTTATCATATTACATGTTACTATCCAACCTCCAAACCACTTCTCCACACTGGGATCCTGGAGCCTGTCCAGCAATTACATTTGCTGTAGAATATAATACTGATAAAAATTATATTATATTGCATACCAAATTTAAATGTGTCTAAAAAAGTCACACATTTTTTCCACTGTATTAACTTGAAAGTTATAACTGTGAGGCAGTGAAATATAATATAATATAATACAATTTAACATAATTTAATATAATGAACTAATGCTTATAATTCTCTATAAAATAATTATAATATAACAGAATACAACATGTATAATTAATATAATAGTTGTATTGTGTTATAATTATTATTTAGAGAATTATGAACATCAACCTGTCCTTCAACTTAAAACCTGATGGGATAAAGTGTTTTACTGTATATAAATAATCATATGCCATATGGATAAAATGTTCCATATACATTAGTAAACAAGCAGAACTCATTTCCTGTCATAATGTCACAGCTGTCCTTTTTAAAAGCTCTCTTATATAAGCAGAGTAGCATCTTCATTGCTAAATTGTTTGATTTGTACTAAAAAGCTTCGATTGCATGCTTTTCTGGGTTGTACGACAGAACAACAGCTCAATAATGACAGTCATTTGTAAAAGTGTGATGTGGTCCTCATTGGTAGATAAGCTGATATATGTGGCGGGCAAGTGGTCATAAAACTGGCTGTCCATTACAACAGAACAAACACTTACATTATGTCCGTCGTTCCCACACAAAATATAATGCATGTGACAAGTATTTGGAAAAAAAAAACATGTTTGAGCATTGATCAGTGTATATCTGTGCTAGTTTAATATTTAGAAACACAAGACCACTATTTTGATTAATTAGATTATTCACCCATAGATGAATATTCATGAACATGTCATCATTTGCTCTCACTCCACTTGTTTCCAAAACACAAAGTAACATATTTTAAAGAATTTTGTGAATGCTAACCAATAGTCATGTTTCCATCTAAATATGAGAATTAAACTTGAGTAAATAATGAATATATTTTAATTTTGGGGTAAACTGTTCCTGTAATGTTGTTGTACAGTAGTACTTACATTGTAATGTACTTGTTTTTAGCATAAAAAATCTTGTAAAACAACAAATAAATTTACCTTTCCATAATTTAGGATGCACAATAAGGCTCAAACAGGTATGTTTGCTGTAATCCCATTGTTATGTAAAATGGAGTCTCTCAGTCTGCCAGAGAATATAGATTATGATGATGGAGAGGTAAAAACAAACAGCATGAGCCTTCTATGACCCTTTACCAGTCTTTCTTAATGCTCGTCAGTGTTGGCTGGACAGTGTGGACTGAATTACATCCTCCAGTGTCTCCCCCTGCAGAAACACAGGCGATATAAATGATCTGACCATTTAAGTAAATGGGTTACTTTGAGAGTGACTCAGGTCGAACCTCAAGTAAATGAGCAGATAAGGCCTCACCTGTGATCCTCCCCCAGCTGTGATGTTTTTCAGCTTGTACACCGTGACCTGACCCTCACTGTCTCCCACCAGAACACAGTCTGTCTCTGGACTGAACAACAGAGCTGTTGGATTCACTCCTGGACTCGTCCAGTTAACTAATGTCGGGTCCAAACTATTAAAAAATAAAGACCATCACATTCTAGACAATAAAAAAAAATCAAGCTCTGAAAATTTAAGAATTGTGTTAAAATATTACATATGCATATAAACATACAGTATAACAAACATATAACAGAACTATAAGATGTAAGATCAAACCCTCTGCAGAATGGGAAAAAATGTTGATCATTTTAACAAAATAGGAGGGATCATAAAAATTGTGTAATTTATTATTATTATTTTTTTATTTAGTGTGCTGAATGAGGCATTGCACCAACAGTAGCATATTTGTCATACTGAGCCAAAATAAGTCAAACTGAGCCAATATACATACTCTTTCAATATCTCTTCTTTTATTTTTTGATAGTTATGAAAGTCATAAAAGTATGTTATTTTTATATAATACTGTCCCAAATAAGACTTTTCCACTAACAGATGTTTACATTTTTCTTGTAAAACAAAATAACTGAATTGATAAACTTTTGATTCTTGGTCTCTTTTTCTTTGTAATTATAAAAAGTGTTAATCTTTATATTATTGCTGTTCCTAAGTCACTGAAATGGACCACTGTTCTACTAAAAAAATCCTTCAGCTCCTGCACAGTCTTTGGCTTTTCAACACTGGCAGTAAGATTATCATCCCTAGTTTCACAGTGGACATCTGAGACCCTCACAAATGTAAAAAAAAAAAAAAAAACTTCTCTGATGCTCAAAAATCAATGTGATAAATTAAGAACATTTCTAAAATAGTTATGATATTTCTGGGAAACACAAGTATTTTAATGTAGTTTCTGAAGGACTGCACTAAATTAAACAAATGTGAACTAAAAAAGAAGAAATATGCACACATAATTATCTTCAACAGATGGGACCCCTCAGCTCTTGATGCTCTTGTATTTGTAATTATAAAAACAAATTTGTTATATATGAGTATCTCATTTGCACTTTTGGGGTCAAATCTGCAGAAGGTGCTAGAAAGGTATATAAAAAAATATCAAATGTAAAAACAGAAATAGTCATTAATATTCATTAGACAACAGAGAGACAGTTCAGCTGTTCAAAAAATTCAGCTGTTTTGTAAAACATCTGTTATGTCATATAGTATATTCAATATATTAAATTCAAAATGGCAAGCAATTTTTAGGATCCTATTAAATTATTAATTATTTTTATATAATTATTAAAGGGTGGTGTGGGGGCAGAGTGGGTAGCGCTGTCGCCTAACAGCAAGAAGGTCGCAGAGTCAGCTCAGCTAGGTCAGTTGGCAGTTCTGTGTGGAGTTTGCATGTTCTCCCTGGTTTTCCTCCAGGTGCTCCGGTTTGCCCAACAAGTCCAAAGACAAGCGCTATTGGTGAATTGAGTAAGCTAAATTGTCTGTAGTGTATGTGTGTGAATGAGAGT